TTCCTTCCTTCCTTCCTTCCTTCCTTCCTTCCTTCCTTCCTTCCGAGAGCTTCCATCCATTCAAACAACTGCAGTGTGCAACTACTATGTGTTGGCTGCCAGGGCTGCAGAATCCCCTGCGCCCTGGCTCTCACGGAGCATAAATAAATACGTAATTAAACATGTATCCATAGAGTAGGTCACAGAGTCTGAATGGCCCGAAGGAAAATGAAGCAGGGAAAGGGAGTGGGAGGTGGGGGATGGAACACTTTTTAAACGGGTGGCAAAGAAGGCCTCACTGAAAACGTGAGATTTGATCGGAGGCCTGAAAGAGTGGGGGGAGCCAGGTGAGTGCGTGGGGACAGAGTCCCAGGCCCGGGGAACAGCCAGTGCAAACCCAGGAGGGTAACCTGGTAGACTTGAGGCCACTGTCGCTGAAGAAGAGTGGGCGAGGGCAGCTAGTGGGACGTGAGGGCAGGGAGGTGCTGGGGGTAGGTCGTGTGGGATGGGCCACAGGGAGGACACTGGCTTTTACCCCAAGTGAGATGGAGTCACAAGAGGGCTCAGGCAAGGGAGCGACATGATCTGACGCAGGTGTCCACAGGTCCCTTTGCTGCATGTGACAAACAGAGTGTGGAGGCAGGAACAGGAGCTGGGAGACCAAGCGGGAGGTGAGAGCTAAGGCACACAGGAGCGGGGGGGTGGGGGGCCTTGCAAGTGGGAGAAGGAGACAAATTCTCGATGGATTTTTAAAGACAAAGCCAATAGAACATACTAGGTAATTGAATGTGGGGCATGAACAAAAGAGCAGTCAAGGACCAGACCAAGGCTCTCAACTCATTTAATCCCAAGACAAACCCACAGAGTAGGATCATCCTTTTGTTACAGATGAAGAAACAGGTTTAGAGAGGGCTGGTGGCTCCACGTCCCGCAGGAAGTGGCAGAGCTGAGACTGGAACCAGTTTCTGTGTGGCTCCCGGTCCAGGCCTTTGCTCTGTGGGCCCCATCGCCCGGGCATGCTCGGACCTCACCCAGCGCGCAGAGACCGCCAGGCCGCACGGACACCTGCTCAGCCTGCCTGCACTGTGCCATGAACGACTCCCCAGCCGGTGACTTCATGGGCTTGGAGCATCCCTCCATGGCATTCTCTTATTGCTTGTCACCCATGTTGGGTAACCAGGTTTCCTCATCTGCCTTTGGGCTCCCACATGGCCTGACTGGCTCTGACTCACCACTGTCCTGGTGTTGCCCGGCGCCTGGCATGTGGCAGCCTTCATTAAGGCGACAAGTATCTGTTAAGCATCTATCTTGCACTGGGCTGGGCTGGGCTGGATCAGCCTTAGACACCACCCTCCAGGGTTGACAGTCCAGTGGTGGAGACAGACCCACCCCCAGACAGTGCCGGCCCAGAAAGGGCTGGGCTGAAATGGGTGAGGGGGGCAGGATCCTAACCCAGTCCGAGAAAGGTCTGGGAGGGGTTGGTGGAGGTGAAAGACCCAGGAATGAACAAGATGGCCTTGGGGCCCTCACAGAGCCCCAGCCCAGCCAGGCAGATTAACAATGAGCAGTTAACAAATCAATGAGAGAATTGTCCAAGGCTAAGAGCTAGAAACAAGTAAACAGGGTGGGACAGAGTGACTGTGGTTCTTTTAGCTGGGTTGTCAGGAAAGGCTGGGACCTGAGGCTGAGAAGGTGCCTGCCTGGGATGAGCAGGGGAGAGGGGACTCAAAGGACAAAGACCCAGTCACACAGGCCCCACAGCGAGAAGGAGCTTGGAGTGGTTCAAGATAAACTGACGAACAAAACAGAACCAGAGGCATGGACAAATGGAACAGACTGACGGCTGTCAGAGGGGAGGTGGAGCGGGACTGGCTTAAGGAAGGTGAAGGGATTAGTTAAAGAACATATAGGCACAATCCATAGCCCTAGACAACCTCGAGGTGATGGCCAGAGGGAAGGGGGGCAGGGGCTGGGTGGAAGTGGGCAAAAGGGGGGGGGATGGGAACATCTGTAATAGTGTCAACAATAAAAATAAGGTTAAAAAGAAGAAACTGCTGGAGCCAGTGTGCCTTGGGCCGAGGGGAGTGGGTGGGAATAGATATGAGGAGGCTGCCAGTGTCCACACAGTGGAAGAGCAGATGTGAGGTCAGCAGAGCTGGAAACCCTGGGCTTCCTCGGGGGAGCCCTCCCATGGCTCCATCTCACTCAGGATAGAGGAGAAAGTCCTCCCTGTGGCCCACAAGGCCCCACACAACCTGCCCCATCACCTCCCTGCCCCCATCTCTCCTTCATTCTCTCTGCTCTGGGCACACTGGCCTCCCCACTGATCCTCTGACAGGGTAGGCACATTTCTGTCTCAGGACCTTTGCATTGGCTGTTTCTCTGCCCGAACACTGGCCACGTGGTTCCTCGTGTGGCTCCTGCCTCAGACATCCTCCCCTACTCTCCCTCCTTTTCCCTGCTTTTTCGGAGCACTTATCACTAAACAGTGACACCATTATATATTTTACTTATTTATTGGGTTTACAGTCTGTCACCTGGATAGAACGTCAGCTCCACTAGGGCAGAGGTCTCTATCCTGTTCATGGCTGTCTCCCAGTACTGAGAACAGGGTCTGGCACATGGTAGGTGCTGAATAAATAACAGTCAATAAATGAAAGGAAGATGGGAAACGGGAAGGAGGGAAAAGGGGGGGCAAACGCAGGGCTGTGAGCACCTAAGGCTTATCTGCCACCCCAGCTGGGAGGCGGGCAAGTTAGCACTTCTCAGCTTCCAGGATAAGGCAGTGTCAGGCTGGGACACTGTGGCACAAACGGACAGACAGTCCTTAGCACTTTTTGGCTTTTGGCGCACTGAGGGCTGGCCTAGGGGGAGAAAGTCACTGTTGCCACCTGCTGGACAGTGGTGTCATGACAGCCGTGCCCACCTTGCCCACTTGGGGCTGGCGATGCCTCTCGCCCCCCACAAGCACGATGGGGGGCGCCCCAGCGGGCATCCCCAGCAGAAGTGCAGAGTCCCCGGAGCCGCAGCCATAAGCCTCTTTATTCCCGAGGCCCTGTGGGCACCCCGCCCAGTCAGTGCTATGCAGCAGGGCAGGGCGGTGCCACCCACCTGTGTGTCTGTCTGTCCACAACTGCCCTCCAACACAGCCCCAGGACCCCCCACCTCTCCAGGAGGGGAGAGCTGCCCAGCTCCCTCAGGGCTGCGTTCACCCACAGGGGCCCTCAGGAAGGCAGGGGAGTCGAGGCCCGCCCTGACCCCCCAGCCGGGCCTGGGTAGTGTCCGGTTATACAAGCCAAGGTGGCAAGGCTCTGAGCTGCCCCATCCCTAGAGGTACATCATCCGGTGGAGCAGGGGTCTCACCACCCACACGTCATCCACAATCTTCCCATCCTACAAGGAACAAAAACAGACATAAGGACTGAAAGCCTAGACTCTGGAGCCAGGTAGCCTGTGTACAAATTCCAGGTTTGCCTCTGATGTGCTGTGTGACTTCGGGCAAGTTGCCAGATCTCTCTGAGGCTCCATTCCTCCATTTCCCTTATCTGCAAGGTGGGGATGATAGTAGTAGTACCTGTCTCATAGGTGTTGTGGGAATGAGGTGAGCTATTTGGAAAGGGCACTTGGCAAGGCCTGTGTACATATAGGTTCTTGCTATTGGAACGCAAACCCTGGAGTAAGACAAACCTGGCTTTAATCCCAGTGCAGCCACCCTGTGTGTGGCCTTAAGCACATGAACCGACTCTGAGCCGAACTTCCATGCTCTATAAACAGGGAGGACTGAAAAAAATAATACACACAAAAGCCCAGCCCTGGTGCATGTGCCACTCAACAAATGGTAATTACTTGTAACAAAAGGAGCATGGTCTTTGGGGTCAGATCCCAGGTTTGCCACCCCCCGGCTGTGTGACCCTGGGGAAAATTACTTCCTCTCTCGGAGCCTCAGTTCTCTCATCTGTAAAATGGAAAGAAAATCCTCTCCATGGCATTGTTGTGATTAAAGTGCTACTAAATATATATAGTGTCTAGCCCAGCATCTGGTACATACTAGGTGCTCAACAAATCATAGTGATTATCATTATTTTAAAATTACAATGGCAAAAATAAAGAAATGTGTGCCATGCTTATTTGGGTCCACTGAACCTTAAGCCACCTGGACCACCCACGTGGTATTGGCTTCCCTTACCCACCTCCCAGCATCCAGCTTTTTCTTCCCCTTGCTTCATGTTGATAAATAGCTACAGAATTTACCACATTTTAGAAGCTGTTCTAAGCACTTTATATATAATAATTAACTTAACCCCCATATAATCCTGTGAGGTAGAAACTATGAAACGTCTCCATTTGGCAGATGGGAAAACTGTGGCTCAGAATGAAGTTGCTTGAGGTCACCTAGCTGGTAAGTAGCAGAGGCAGGATCCCTGGCTCCAGAATCCTCGGCTCCAGAGCACGCTGAGCCTGGCCACTCAGGCTGGTGACGCGGGCACCCTCACTGACCTGGTCATCGGACACCTGCTGGATGTGGACGTGGGTCCCGTTGAGGATGTGTAGCCGCGTGTAGCCGTACTCCTTCACCCGCACGGCGCTCCAAGGCCGAGGGAAGAGGGTGAAGCGGGTCAGTCGCTCCTCGCAGCCCTGCGGGGGACAACCGTTCAGACCCGGGGGGGCTGGGGCAGGTGGAGGACCCGCAGATGAGCAGAAACAACCTGCCAGCCAGGACCCTGCTGTCCCCAAGGAAGACAAAGTCAGTTAAGACTTGACCTCAAGCCCAGCCAGGTGTGGCTCAGCGATTTAGCATCAACTTAGGATCCAGGAGATTGGGGTTCGATTCCCGGTCAGGGCACATGCCCGGGTTGCGGGCTCGATCCCCAGTCTGGGGCGTGCAGGAGGCAGCCGATCAAGGACTCTCATCATTGATGTTTCTCTCTCTCTCTCTCTCTCCCTCTCCCTTCCTCTCTGAAATCAATAAAGATATATTTAAAAAAAAAAAAAGACTTGACCTCGATAATGCTCACACTTGAGTGTTTTCACCCAGCCAGGCTTCCTGTACCCAGGCCTTCTAGAAAGTGCATGGCCATATGAGACTGTCCACAGCAGCATTTTCTGTGAAAGCCATGAGCTGGAAGCCACCCAAATGCCCATCAGTTAAGTAGGTTGTAGCACAAGCATCACAAAGCAGCATAATACAGAAAGAGGCCAGGACACGTCATTAAAGGGAAAACACAATTGCAGGATAGAAGAAATCGGGGGGTTTCAGCCCTCGCTGCACAGTAGACACTCCAAGTAGACTTTTTAAAATCACCAATGCCAGGGGCAGAGGCAGTGCTCATCCTTACAGGAGAATATGCCAGCAAATGAGGGAGCGCAAAAAATCACCGTTTTGCAGCCACCATGATAATAACTGATTGAAGCAAGAATTATTACCAATAGATGGTAAAACTAGTGGTCAAAGTCTGAGGTGTAAGAGGATATTTGCATAGCCTCAAAGTATCTCTCCAGGAGACACCTACCTGTTAATTGTAAAAGGGAAGCGAGTAACTATGGTGGAGAGGCCGCAGACACCACCTTAACCAAGCGATCAGAGTGAACATCAGTAATGAGACAGATCCCTACCACATCCACATGGGAAACTGAGGCTTAAAGAGATACCACGTGCCTCCTGGGAGGATGCCCTGAGAGAGAACATGGTATCATTTTTGTGTATTTTTACCACAAAGGTGTTAACTTCCATCTAATCTGAGCAAACATCAAACAAACCCAAACTGAGGGATATTCTGCACGATTTTGCTGTACTCTTCAAAATTTTCAAGGTCAGGAAGAATGAAGACGGGGTGGGGAAATGTTTCTGATTAAAGAAGCGCAAGAGACAAGACACCAAAATAGAACATGTGATCTTAGACTGGATCCTGGGCCAGAAAAAAAATTCTTTGCTTTGATTTAAAGGACATGAATGGGACAACTGGCTAAATCGGAATGAGATCTGTAGATAATAATGGCACATTATCAAGGTTAACTACTTGAATTTGATTATACTGTAGATAAGAGATAAGATAATGTCCTTGTTTTTTAGGAAATACGGACAGAGGGGGGAAAGGGCATAACTTCTGCAACTTACTCTTCATTGGATCTGAAAATAATAATTAAAAAATATATACAGAGAGAGAGACAGAGAGATTAAAACAAGTGTGGTTAGGCCTCGCCAGTTTGGATCAGTGGTTAGAGTGTCAGCCTGCACCTTGAAGGGCCTCGGGTCCGATTCCAGTCAAGGACACCTACCTCGGCTGTAGTCTCGATCCCCAGCCCCAGTCAGGGCACATAAGGGAGGCCACCAATCGATGTATCTCTCTCACGTCAATGTTTCTCTCTCTCTCCTTTCCACTCTCTCTCAAAAACAATGGAAAAAATATTCTTGGGTGAAGATTAAAAAATAATAATAATAAATGAGCCTTCTCTGCTTGCAGAAGTGATTGATTCCGAGGTGGGGGCAAGGAAACCACAGGAAGATGCCAAGCACCTTGCAGTGCCAAAGAGTAAGGAAGTGCGCACATGGAAGGGGCAGGAGACCGACCTGAAGAGTTCCCAGGGGCCAGAGCAAGCACCCTGAGCATCAACATAGACAAAAGCATTGGATCATAGCCCACAGAATAAAATAATTCCCCATGAGTCCACATCAGTATAGATCAATAACTAACCAACCAAATAAAGGCGGCAGAGGGACAGCTCTTCCTTGCAAGAGGCTTCTAATAAGCCCAGGAGTGAGGGAAGTAGAAGCTCCCAGGAGAACACCACAGTGTTCACTGTTGCAGGCAAGACCTACTGCCAGTCGAAAATTCATGGGTGAAAGCTTGAGGAGAAACAGGACATTTGCATGCTCTAAAAGGATCTCCCACAAGATATTTATTACTTAAAAGGGAAGTTATAATAACTTTATGGTGGAGAGCCCGGCAGACACCTCCTTAAGCTGGTGATTCAGAAAAACACCTCCAGGGGAGAGACACTCTTGCATCACGTACTCCCTGGAATGATGCGCTGAGGGGACTCGACATCACTGCTGTGATCGTCTTGCCCAAAATGCATAACCCAAGTCTCAGCCCGAGAGAATGTCAAATAAACCTAAACTGAGGGCATTCTGCAAAACACAAGGTCTGCAAATATGTGAAGGATGAAAGACAGGATAGACTGAGGAACTGTCCCGGGTTGGAGGAAACTAAGAAGACATCTAAATACAATGTGGGCTTCTGGGAAAGAAATAGGCCATTGGTGAGAAAGGGGGTGAAATGTGAATAAAGTCTGGAGTTTAGTTACAAGAATAATAACAACAAGCCCTCTGCCCAGGAATCCATCAGTCGACCCAGGGCGAGCACCCACAACCCCTGCCACCTATTGAACTTGTGACTTCGAATGAGGATTTTACTGCCTGAACCTCTGTTTTCACATCTGTACAATGGGCATGTTGCTAGGTGTACTTAAGCTCTAGGGTTGAGTTAGTGAGAGTGGTCATATGAAGCACACAGAACCCCGGCTGGCACAAGTTTGACCCTCAATAAAGAGCAAGAAGAGGGAAGCCAGAGGCACCCTTCCCCGCCCTGCTCACAGCGGATCCTGTGATGATGTGTACAGGGCCTCGAGGGTTGGTGTAGGGCATCTCTTGGCTGCCGTTAAATACCTGGGAAGGGGGCAAAGGAGAGGGGTGAGTCATACCAGACCAGAACAGAGGGTCTGACAGCCCTCGGCCTCCCTGGGCCTCACCTGGTAGTTGTAAATTGGCCACAGCCGTTCATATGAGTGCTCATGAGCCCACAGCTGCAGGTCGACTCCTGAGACAGAGCAAGTGGGGATCAGGCCCCTGAATGCAGGTGGAGGGTGGGACCTGGAGATGGGGACTGCCCCCCCCCCAGTCACTTACCGTATTTGTAGAAAAGATCCTCTAATCCAAATAACTTGCCGTAGAGGCCTTTTCGAACCTGGGGGGGGGGGACAAGGAGTGAGGGAGTGACTCAGGCAGACCCCCACCTGGCTCCCAGCACCCTGCCCTGGGGAGGGTCTTCACCCTGCTTTCATGCCACGTGCAGTCATCCACATCGGCGTTGGAGCAGTACATGGGCCGGTGACCCATGGTGATGATCCACGGCCGAGCTGCCCTGTTCTTATTGGCTTTCTGGAGAGAAGGCCCCGAGTGAGAGGAGAGGGTGGGTGAGGAGGGGAGGGGAGGGGAGGGGAGGCAGAGCCAAGAGGTGATGGGGGACCCCCACCCAGGTTACCTGGAGGTCTCTCTCCAGCCAGTGAAACTGACTCTCTACCATGTGTTTGCCGTAATGGAGGTAGAAATAGACCTCGGTGGAGAAGGAGATGATATGCGCAGGGCCCAGGTCCCAGCTGAGGGGTCAAAGGGCATGGATCAGAGATGGGGTCTGCGCTCATCTCCCATTCTTCAGGGGAGGGAAGTCAGCCCCCCAGCCCTCCGCTCCCCAGGTTACCTGTACCACAGCCCCTCGTTGTTCCCCGGCATGCTGAAGCGAGCCTTGTAGTTAGAGAAGTTGCTGGAGAAAAGGAAGTGAAAGGGTGGGGGGAGGGCCTGGGTGCCCTGCCCACCCCATCTCCCGAGGACCCTGAGGTCAAGTCTGGCTCCCACCCATCCCTCCTCTCCTTTCCTCTCACTACCACACATGGGCTGCTGAAGCATGAGGGACTAAGGTGAGACACTAAGAAGGACACATCTGTTCTCACTGGCCGCGCCTGGGCCCACCCCGAAGCCCCTGGTCCTCACTAGCGCTCCTCATGATTCCCTGGGCACGTCATGTACGGGAGGCTGGCAGCCACAGGTTCGATGAGCCGCATGAACTCGTCACCAACGCGAGCGTTGTCCTGATCCATGTTGTAGGCAAAGTCTCCTGGGGGGGACCAGAGGGGGCAGGGAGAGTGAGGACCCAGACCCAGCTCTGCTTTCACCAGAATTGAGAGACCTGATTGCTCAGGTGTGGGCTGGGCAACCTCTGCCTCCAAGCCGTCCCAGTTCTCTGATCCCTACTTCACGCCCACTTGAAGTGTTTCCTGAACCTCTGGCCCTGAGACCCCCACAGGACCATGCTAGTCCCCTGTGCTCTGATCACAGCGGCCTCCATCTCTGCCTGCACCATCCTGAGCCCTCCCGGAGCAACACCATTAAGCCTAATGTAGTCTGGTACTGGTTTTACACCAGTTCCAGTTCCAGATGCTTTACATGCTTCATCATCTGAATCTTTAAAACACCCTCTGAGGTGGGTGTTATTGTTATTATCCCATTTCAGGTGGAAAAACTGAGGCCCAGAGAGGTTAAGTGCTTGCCCCAAGGTCACAGAGCAGGTTAGTGAAGATTCAGGAATCAATCCTAGGAGTCCACTTCCAGAGACTGTGGCTTTGAACCATAGCAGCCCCAATCTTCACCTCCCATCTGGCTCCTGTTCCCTCGAGTCGCAACAGCATGGTAATAACTGACACAACATTCCAGGTAGTGTCAACTTAGTCATCACAACAGTCCTATGAATTCTGAACTCGTCTTAGCTCTGATAACTCAGAGGAGATAACCAGTGCACGTAGCTCTAAGGGAGGGGAGCTGGGATTTAATCTGGGCTGTCCAGCAACCAGACACCATCTCCACGGCCAGTCTCATCCCCAGTCCTTTCAGAACCACACCGGCCCCTGCCCCAGGCCCCTCCACTGTCCTGGCTTTGCTTCCCAGCAAGCTCCCCCCCCTCATACCTCCAGGCACACCCTTGCCAATGCCTCACCCACATGGAGAACAGCATCGTACATGCCCTGCTGAGTGTCCCTGCGCAGCCGGGGTAGGGACTTCGGGTTGTCTGTCCCCATGTCCCCAAACACAGCCAGACGTGGGCTCCAGTGGGGCCCATTCCTTAGGGCCCTGAAGCGGAACCGACGGCTCCAGCCCCTAGTACTGCCACAGCGGTAAACTGGGGGGAGGGAAAGGCCACAGTCAGCTGGGGGCCCCCAGTATGTCTCCTCCGCCCCCACCCATTTTCATTTAGTAGGGGGAGGAGGTAGGGAGTTGAAGAGGTCTGACCCATGCCCCTTCTGTCCATCTCACCCCAGGTCCCCAGCACCTTCCATTTTTATCCCAGGGTCTCAGATAATAGGCTTGCAGACAAGCAGAGGCGTTACCAGCCAGCCTGAGCCGCCTGCCAGTGGCAGCTTCTAATCCATACCCCACTCCTCTTTCCATTCCCCCCTCACCTGGGCCTGGGACCCCTCTCACCATACTGGACCCCTGGCAGCAGCCCCCGCAGCGTGACGCGGTGGATGTAGAGCTTCCGCCGGAGAATGCCCCCGTCCACAAAGGGGCTGAAGGTGCCCTGGGCCTGGAGGGGCAGGGGCCCGGATAACTGCAGCCCGAACTGTACTTCAGAGCTGGTTGGGACCCACGTGGTCCAGGTGACAGTCATGGAGCCTGGCTCACCTGGGCAGAAAGGAACACAATGGGGCTGGGCAGTGAGGCCTGGGCAGGGCAGGGAGGGATGTGCGGGGGGGCAGAGGGGGAGGCAATGATTAACAGCTCCTGAAGACTCATTAGTTAAGGACAAAGTCTGTGGAACTTCCCAAGTTCAATCCCAGCTCTGCCATTTCCAATCTGTGTTTTCCTTGGGCAAGTCACTGCCTCTCTGAGCCTCAGTTTCCTTATCTGTCAAATGGAATAATAATAGTATCTACTCTATGGAGTTGTTATGAGGCATAGATTAATAAATATAAGTAAAGCCCGGCTGATGTGGCTCAGTGGTCAACCCATGAACCAGGAGGTCACAGTTTGATTCCTGGTCAGGGAATATGCCTGGGTTTTGGGCTTGATCCCCAGTAGAGGGGAGTGCAGGAGACAGCCGATCAGTGATTCTCTCTCATCACTGATGTTTCTATCTCTCTTTACTTCTCCCTTCCTCTCTCTGAAATCAATTAAAAAAATATTAAAAAAAATAAAATTAAATAAAATAAATAAATAAATAAATAAATATAAGTAAAGCACTTGAAACAGTCCCTAGCACAGTTAGGGTTCTATTAGTGAATGGATATTATTATTATTATTACTTACTATGTGCAGGCCTTGTGCCAAACATTTTTACATACATGATCATTAAGGGTGATCAGATGTCTAGAGGCCAGCTAGGTAACATAAATGAGGGAAAAGACCAGCTGTAAAGAGTTAGGCAGTAGGGAGTTGCGTGGGGGGTGGCAAACAGCAGACCTTGCATGGTCTAAAAGGGGCAGCCATCACTCAGCTCTGAGGATACCTGCCATGCAGGAAGCAGGCCCAGTGCCACCAAATCTGTCAGTCCCTAAATCAAATCTTTATATGGAGGTTTTTATGTCTCCAGGAGCATATATAGGTAGATATACAAATCCAGACTTCTAAGTGATTGCTCCAAATTCTTAAATGTTAGTAACCAAATCAAGGTTTTAAAAATATCATGAGGGCCTGGCCGGTGTGGCTCAGTGGTTGAGCATCAACCCTTGCAACCAGGAAGTTGTTGGTGCGATTCCCAGTCAGGGCACATGCCCATTGCAGACTCCATTCCCGGTGGGGGGCGTACGGGGGTAGCCAACCAGTGTTGATGTTTCTCTCTCGTTGATGTTTCTACCTTTCTCTCCCTCTCCCTTCCTCTTTCTCTAAAATCAATAAAAATATATAAAAAATATCATGAGGTATAATGCAATGTTAAGAGCAAGGGTTCTTCCTCCAGCAACATGAAAACGCACGTGCACAAGATTACTCATGACCTCACTGTGAGCAATGGCAAAATACCAGAAACATCAGAAACGACCATACCTAGGAGAATGACTGAATAAAACTCTGCAACGTGCATGCAGTGGAACGCACGTGCACAAGGTTACTCATGACCTCACTGTGAGCAATGGCAAAATACCAGAAACATCAGAAACGACCATACCTAGGAGAATGACTGAATAAAACTCTACAATGTGCATGCAGTGGAACGCACGTGCACAAGGTTACTCATGACCTCACTGTGAGCAATGGCAAAATACCAGAAACATCAGAAACGACCATACCTAGGAGAATGACTGAATAAAACTCTACAATGTGCATGCAGTGGAACGCACGTGCACAAGGTTACTCATGACCTCACTGTGAGCAATGGCAAAATACCAGAAACATCAGAAACGACCATACCTAGGAGAATGACTGAATAAAACTCTACAATGNCTAGCACAGTTAGGGTTCTATGAGTGAATGGATATTATTATTATTATTACTTACTATGTGCAGGCCTTGTGCCAAACATTTTTACATACATGATCATTAAGGGTGATCAGATGTCTAGAGGCCAGCTAGGTAACATAAATGAGGGAAAAGACCAGCTGTAAAGAGTTAGGCAGTAGGGAGTTGCGTGGGGGGTGGCAAACAGCAGACCTTGCATGGTCTAAAAGGGGCAGCCATCACTCAGCTCTGAGGATACCTGCCATGCAGGAAGCAGGCCCAGTGCCACCAAATCTGTCAGTCCCTAAATCAAATCTTTATATGGAGGTTTTTATGTCTCCAGGAGCATATATAGGTAGATATACAAATCCAGACTTCTAAGTGATTGCTCCAAATTCTTAAATGTTAGTAACCAAATCAAGGTTTTAAAAATATCATGAGGGCCTGGCCGGTGTGGCTCAGTGGTTGAGCATCAACCCTTGCAACCAGGAAGTTGTTGGTGCGATTCCCAGTCAGGGCACATGCCCATTGCAGACTCCATTCCCGGTGGGGGGCGTACGGGGGTAGCCAACCAGTGTTGATGTTTCTCTCTCGTTGATGTTTCTACCTTTCTCTCCCTCTCCCTTCCTCTTTCTCTAAAATCAATAAAAATATATAAAAAATATCATGAGGTATAATGCAATGTTAAGAGCAAGGGTTCTTCCTCCAGCAACATGAAAACGCACGTGCACAAGATTACTCATGACCTCACTGTGAGCAATGGCAAAATACCAGAAACATCAGAAACGACCATACCTAGGAGAATGACTGAATAAAACTCTGCAACGTGCATGCAGTGGAACGCACGTGCACAAGGTTACTCATGACCTCACTGTGAGCAATGGCAAAATACCAGAAACATCAGAAACGACCATACCTAGGAGAATGACTGAATAAAACTCTACAATGTGCATGCAGTGGAACGCACGTGCACAAGGTTACTCATGACCTCACTGTGAGCAATGGCAAAATACCAGAAACATCAGAAACGACCATACCTAGGAGAATGACTGAATAAAACTCTACAATGTGCATACAGTGGAGCACTATGCAGCTGTCAAAAAGAAAGAAGACAAGCTCTATGAACTCTAGGATATGGAATGATGTCCAGTACAAACAGTTAAATTAAAAAAGTAAACTATACAAGAGTATATAGAGTCAGCTACTCTTCATGGAAGAAGATATAAGAAAATACACGAGGATACGCCTGTTTGTACAAAAGAAATACAGGGAGGATATACCAGAAACTAAAGAGATGGATTAGTTTCATGAGGTGGATTAGTTTCATTAGTTTCTTTTCCCATCCACCGATGGGAAAGAAAGAGGTAGAAAAAAGGAGAAATGGGGTAGTGGGAATGAGGAGGGAGGATGCCTCTCTGAGTCTATCTTTTTTGTATAAAAATTCTGACTCCTAGAACTATAGCCATGTTTCATATCTCCTTCATACAAATGAAAAATGAACTAACAAAACTACCCAGGATGTGGGGAGAAGCTAGCATGGAATATAAACACTAACAAATGGATATAACTATTTTTAAAAAAATGAATAAAGTAACCATGCTGAAGGGGTGGGGAAGGAAAGTAACCTTGGGAAATAGGTCTTGACTGGGCACTGTACGATAACAGAGAAAAATTATTGCACATAAGTGCCGTCATCCAGTAGGTGTTCTCCAGGGATGCGGATGAACAGTTCCGAAACCATTTCATGCCTATACTAGCATGGAGCAAGTAGGTAAGTGTGTTGTAGACAGCGTATTGAGCTGGGTCCTCGGCGTTGGAGAAAAGGGTTACAAACAACGAAAGAAGGCAAAAGTAAACCCTTGAAGGTGGACTGAAATGGCAGGTATCGGTACGATCCCATGGTATTTAATATATATACAGAAAGACAGAACACAGACGTGGCATGTGCTTATAAATGTACACACGTGTGGCCTAGCTCCATTTGTGAGGGCCAAGAAACAGGTCTCCTCAGTAGCAATGAGCACACCTAGTGCTCAGATCTTGGTTTCTAATTACCCATTCTCCAATGGAAGGAATCAGGGCTCTCTGGAGAAGCTGTCGATTCCAGAGCTGGGCAGGAAATATCCAGGATGAGCCTGGAATGATTTGTGGGGCCAGATAGTGAAGAAGTGCTCAGAAAATGATGGGGTTTTGTTAAAAGAACACAGAAGCCAATCTGAAGGAATTGCAAAAGACCAGGTCAGGGACAAGTTGAGCCACAAAATAACGATAGTACAGGATTTTAACCCATGGAATAAACACCTGTGAGATAAATGAGTAATCGAGTAAATGAATAAATCGAGGAGGGAGGGACAGCCTTTCCTTAGAGTAAAATTTGAATTAGATGGAAAGAGAGAATTAGGAGATTACAAAATCACAAGTAGGCGAACATCACACTAATAATTTTTGCAGACAAGATTCACCGATGGGTACTAATATTAGTGGGCAAAAGTTTCCAAAGAAACACAATTTTTGTAGTCTCAAGGAATCTTCCCCAGGATATTTAAAGAACAAAAACTGTGCGATGGAGAAACCCAGGAACTAAGCATTGACGGTCAACATCATCAGTAACAGCCATAAGCCATGTCACCATCAGGCATTAGGAAGGACACGACATCCCATCTTTGTCATTTTGCCAGAAAGACACATAACTTAGTTCCAGTCATGAGAAGTATCAGACAAACCCAACATGAGGGATATCCTACAAATAACTGCTCAGTACTCAAAAATGTCAAAATCACAAAAGGTAAGGAAAGACTGAGAAACTGGAGATTGGAGGAGACTAAGGAGACATGAAAACTAAATGTTAAATAATTAAATCAATGGAAAAACTGGTGAAGTCCAAACAAAATCTGCAGTTTAGTTAATAACATTGCACTAATGTGACTGGTATAAACAACAGTGCCCTGGTTAGGTAAGATGTTAACATTAGAAGAGACTGGAAAAGGGGGATATAGAAACTGTCATATTTTTGCAAAATTTGTTAAATCTGAAATTCATACAAAACTTAAAGTTTTAGAACAAATACCATGGCTCTTGAATTGCTTGGGTTCAAATTCCAGGTTGTGTGAGCTTGGGTCAGGCTCTTCATCTCTATGAGCCTCAGTTTACTCTTTCGTATAATGGGAGTAACAACAGTACCTACAGCTTAAGGTCCAAAATAAGGTTAATTGAGTTACCTATCTGAAGCACTTAGTCAAAGAGTATATTTGCTACTGTCATTTTTGTGGGCCACAGGACAGCTGTGATCTCTGGATTTTCACAGCAGCTCCGTGAGACGGATTTTATTGTTGTCCCTTTTACAGAGGTCTCCAGGCAAAGTGTCTGGTCCAAGGTCACTGGGTCAGCAAGTGCCAAAGCCAGTTCATTCACGCAGTTTCCGATTCCACAATGCAACTAATCTTAAGAAGCTGTCTTCCTTCAAAGTGTCAACGACACAAAAAAACGAAGAAAAATTGAGGAAGAGACCCAAATAGGAGGGGACTAGACACGTGGTGGATCCTGGATTAGAATAAAGACATCAGTGCAAAAACCAGTAAAATCCAAAAAACAAAAAATAAAAATAAATCCATGACTTAGTTAGTAATATGATACTAATGTTAATTTCTTAGCTTGGCAATGGTACCATGGATGCATAAGAGATTAACATTAAGGGAAGCTGGGTGAAGGATGTACAGGAACTGTACTATCTTTGCAACTTTTCTGTAAGTCTAGAATTATTTCAAAATAAAAAGCTAAAATAATTAGGAAGGGAGGGAAGGAAGGAAGGGAAAGAAGGAAGGGAGGGAGGGAGGGAGGGAGGAAGGGTTGAGTTGTGGTGCAAAAAGAAATAGCCACAATTATTTGAAACCCCTTTTAAAATCCTCTTCTGTTTCAACCACATGTCTGTGTGAGACCAAATCTCCGTATGTATCCTCCAGAGCAGCATATTGAAACAGACTGAGGCAGCAGCAAGTGTGAGGAGGGCCTAGCGGTCTCCAGACATTAAAGTGACTTAAAAAGATGTAACTCAAGGCCACTCTTCTCATTAGATTTCTTCTCTCTGTACAGTGGTTATTTTTCATGAAAAATGTCATTTACCTTAATGCAGAGTGGGTTTATTCTTGTGCATTTTCAATGACAATAAATATTTCCAAATGCCTCAGTTTTGGTTTCTAATATGGCAAATGCTATGGATACAACTCACATAAAGTAAAGCTCTTTGAGGTTCTCAGTACCTTTAGCTGCTCTAAGGGGCCCTGAGACAAACACATGTGACTGTCATTTTTGTGGGCCACAGGACAGCTATGATCTCTGGATCACACACAGCCTGCTACACACCAAGCCACTTCACAGGTAACATCTCATTTATTGCTCGCTATGAAGTCACACTATTATCCCATGGTTCAGAGAAGTTAAGTCACTTGCCCAAGGTCACACAGCAGGTAGTTAGCAAAGCTGAGGTTCAAACCCCGGGAGTGTGGGTGCAAAGGGTCCATGGTCCAAGGTCTCAATACCCAGGGCACCACCACCTCATGATCAGGGATCAGGAGGCAGCTTTATGGGGACACAATTAGCAAGAGCAATAGCAGCCCCCTCTGGAGAGCACTTACTACAGGCTGGGCACCAGGATCATCCCACACAGCCAGATGCACCACTGCTTGTAATCCCCATTTAACAGAGCCAAACAACTGAGGCTCAGGAAGAGCCAGCAACCAGGGTGGGATTCCTGAGCCCGCAACCCAATGGGCTTCGCTGGGAAATGCCCTGGGAGGGGTCACAGACACTTACCAGAGTAGGACAGGTGGACTTGCTCCGGGGCAGCGCTGGGATCCTTTGGGATCCCCTGGACTCCCAGGGAGAAAAACAGCAGCAGAGAGCAACAGAACCAGCATAGATGAAAGGAGCACATGGTGGG